GATTGTTTTTCTTGGCTTTCCCTGTGGCTTCTGGGAATAGAAAACTACTATATTGGGCCATGGTGGTATACATTTGGAATCCCAGCACTCAGGAGGCTAAGGAAGATCAACATGAGTTTGAGGCTAGCCTAGAGTACATAAGCCATTACTAAAAACATTATGCTTATCAGGTTCTGTTTTATAAAAGTAATCAATGTTCAATGCAGAATTTTTAGAACATATAGAAATTATAAAGAAGAAAATAAAAATCGCTCATCATTCTCCAGAGATAATCACTTAATATTTATATGTATTTCTTGGGCTGGAGATTTAGCTCAGCAGCATAAGGGAAAAAAATGGAAAACTACTGTATTGGGTCATCTCTTACTTTTCTGATCATTTTCTCTTGGGAGAATCCTCTTTATCTTTCTGTTCCTTACTTATGGATGTTTTCTATATTTAGTCTTTAGCTCTTTGCTTTTCTCTCTGTGCTCTCTCTCACATCCAGTTTCATACCTCTCACTCCTACATTTATATTAATCCTGAATTCACTCTGAACCTACATTCCCATATTGCTAACTACTTATTGAAGTTATTCTCTTGGATATCTCACCATGAACTCAAAACAATCTTATTTTCCTTAATATTTAATATGTTTTTACAAATACAAGAGGAATATAAACACCCATTTTTTAAATGGACAAAGACATGAGTAGGTAGTTCACGTGTACACACATAATACACATGTATGGCTAAACAATGAAAAAATGTTCACTTTCACTGATAAAATGCAAATTAACCTGATGCCATTTTTTCTGTGATTTGGTTTTTAATGGCTAAAAAGCCAGTGTTTATGGGGAGATAGGCACACCCTCAGATACTAGTGATGGAAACTAGAAACACTTTTCTCTGTTAAATGAAACATCACTAGAAACACTTTTCTCTGTTAAATGATGTGTTAGTGTCTTCAGTATGTATCTACTTTCTGATCCAGTAGGCTTCAATACTCAGAAATACTCAGAGATATATGTAAATAAATATAAGAGATACGTGTAAGAAAAAGAATTATTATGTTGAGAACTTGGAGACATACTGTGTGTCTAGCAGTATGATATGGGTTAGAAAAATAGGGCAGATTTCTACACCGGAATGCTATATGGCCACTAAAACTGGTGTTTTAGGCAGCTTAGTGAGACCCTGTCTTAGAGCTAAAAATTTAAAAAGGATTATGGATGTGGTTCAGTGCAGAGGTTCAATGCCTAGTATCACAAAATGTTTTAGAAGTATACTTCATTACTCAGGAAAACATCTAAACTATATTATGAGGTTATTAAATCAGGTTATAAAGAAGATTATGCAAGAATACTGCTATTTTGTTAAAAGAAGGTACAGGCTCAGCTGGGCGTGGTGGCACGCACCTGTAACCCCAGCATTCGAAGAGGCTGAGGCAGAGTGATTACAGGTTTGAGTCCCATCTCGGCAATTTAGTGACTGAGAGAAGCCTTTTTTTTTTTTTTTTTAAATCGGTACTGGGGATCGAACTCACGACTGCCTGCTTGCAAGGCAGGCGCTTATGCCGCTGAGCTAAATCCCCAGCCCTTGAGGCCTTTTCTTAACATGAAGAATTTTAAAGGACTGGGATGTGGCTCAGTGCAAAGGCCCTGGGTTCAATACCCAGTATCAAACAAGAAAAGGTACAGATAAGAGGGAAATACATATAAATATTAAGTGATTATCTTTGGAGAATAATGAGCGATTTTTATTTTATTATTATTATTTTTTTTGTCTTTTTCCTTTTTATCGGTACCAGGGTATTTTCTTCTTTATAATTTCTATATGTTCTAAAATTTCTGCATTGAACATTGATTACTTTTATAAAACAGAACCTGATAAGCATAATGTTTTTAGTAATGGCTTATTTGAAAGCAGATTCTTCTGACATTCCTATAACTAAGCTCGCTCTCTCTTTTTGTCTTTTTGAGACAGAGTCTCTTTGTGCAGTTCAGGCTGCTCTTGAGCTCACTTTGTAGCCCCGCTGGTCTTGAACGCACAATGATCCTCCTGCCTCATAACTAAGCTCTCTTTCCTGGCCTCTTTCCACCCAAGGTGCTGTCAACCTAGGTCCTGGTTTAGACTATGCAATTGGCTTTGATTGCACTTTCACTCCCTCTAGCCAGTTACTTATTAACTGTTATTCCTTGTTTAGGACATCTCTCAAGTTTGTTCCTTTTTTTTTCCTGTCAGTGTTGGGGATCTAGCGCAGAGCCTCATACGTGCAAAGCACAGGCAGTACCACTGAGCTACACCCACAACCCCAGTGCTTTTGAGTCCCAGATCAAGTCAGTTCACTTTAGTCAACATGTGCCATCACACTGTTGGTGTCATTCTGCCAATTTAACACTATTGGAACTACCGGTAATATGTCTTTGTGAGTCTAGTCTCTTGTTTTCCAGTTAGTCAAGCATTCTGCAGCTGGAATGCGCTTTGAGAACACTATTTGTGCCTGATGTGGTGGTGCACACCTGTGATCCCAGCACTCTAGAGGCCAAGGCAGGAGAATCAAAAGTTTAAGGCCTTCTAGGAGACCCTGTCTCAATACAACAACAGTAAAACCCATTTGTGCCATAGCCGTCCTGCTCAAACCACTCAAATCCCCCAACCTCCATTGCTTAGGGAAGTGGTAGCAAACCTATATCATGAGTGCCACAGTGGACATGCAGGGCCCCCTCTTGTCAGCACATGAGCCAAGCTGCCCCGGCAGCCAGGCATCATATAACAGCTATTTTTTCTAAACTAAAACCTCAGTATTCGGGTTCAATTGCAGAGTTGGTACTTTGAGATAAATCAGTGGGTTTGGGTTGCAGTTTGGGCTGCAGTTTGGGCACATGGTCTCTAAAAGGTTTGCCTTCGCTGGCCTGGGAAATAGGGCCCACACTCCTTTTACTTTTCAGGGCTCTTTATAGCACCATACTGGGGGGCGGGGTATAGATAATGGTGGGCCCATGGGAGGTGTTCGGTCATTCAGTAGTGCAGTAAATCTTTAAGAACAGGTTGGGGAGCTCTTCTCACTGCCCTTTGCCATATAAGTTTTAGAATTCCTTTCCTTTTGGCATTAGGCCAGAGTCTTTGGAACACTCGACATTTCATGGCGCTGAATTGGACACAGGAAGAGGCAGCCAGAGGTGATAAAATATGTTTCAGGAAACCCCAACTCAGAGTCCCCAATTTTGGAGGCCTGCTATGTGGGAGGCTCCGTTGGGAAAGCATGTTGCCTCTCAAGTCCTGTCCCCCACAGGGAGGGACGAGCAGAGGAGCTGACAGTGGGAAACTTACTGTTCACTTTAATGGGGAAAAAAGAAGCAGGGGGAAAAGGGAGGGGCCGTGGAAGATGTGAATGCAGAACAAAGCCCTGAGTGAAGTGGGTTCCACATGGAACTCAGCTGTCCCCAGAGCACGCCCACCTGACTGATCGATGGCATATGGTCGTCTGTCAAGAATGCTCCCCTGGGAGTGTGTGGGGTGGTATGTGTGAGGTAATGAACTTGCCAGATGGCAGTCACCAGCCCTGGCTCTTGGAGGATCTGCTGACACCAGTGGGAATGGGATCTGGAGCGGGGTGAAGGGGCTGTGTGAGAGCCGTTTCCGATGATGCTGGTGGCTGAGAGGCCCCTCCGGCACCAAAGTTGGTCCCTTTCCTGTGCTTCCTGTGGACCCAGTGCACCAGCAGGTGCAGCCAGTGTCAGAGCTGCCTATGGGTGCTCTGGGATTCTGGCATGGGCTTCTGGTGCTAAACATGCCCTTTTGGATTGCTTTTGGCATCTTTCTTGCTGTGGGAAGCATGGTACAACCCCACCCAACAGAAATTCTGACTCCTTTCATGGTCCATTCTCATCGAGGTCAGCCATCTGCAAACCATCTTCTTTTCCGTTCTCTCTTTCCCTCCCTTCTACCAGGACCATTGGCAGTTGACACATTTCTGGAGTGCATGCCAGCCCTTTTTGTCCTCCCCCACCTGCCCCGGCTACTTGGAAGCCTACCCTAGTTTAAGACTCTCACTGTTTTGTAAAACCATTAACTCTAAGAAGCTTTGGATCCTGTAGGTAAAGCAAAGGCCCTCTGCTTTCCAGGGCTGGGAGTGTCTTGGTTGATTCCTGTGGAGTCCAAAGAACCAGGGGAAGCTGGGAGCAGTCACAAGGAGCCACAAGTGTGCTGTGGCATAATGGGTCTCAGGATAGGTTCACAGCTACTATTGATCAAATGCTTACTGCATGCTAGATGCTATGGTAAGTGCGTCAGCTGTGTTGTCCTGTATGATCTAACCACTAGCTACTTTCCTGATTTTAGGATGGGGAAATTTTGAAAAGTTAAGTAACTTGTCAGAGGTCAGACAGCTAGAAGTTGGCAGAGGTGGGACTCAAATTAAGGTGATCCTCCTCCCAAGTGCTAGGACTGCAGGTGTGTGCTACTACGCCCAGTGACATGTTAGATTTCCAACCTGTCCTCTTAATTTTTATGCTTTGTGGTCTTTGTAGATCCCCAAAATGTCCTAGAGGGAAGATTAATTGTTTTTTGGGAATATTTACTCAACACCTAAGCGTGTATTAAGCTCATTACATATATTAAAACATTTGAGTTTCCAAGTCACCTCTATGATAGATTGTATTATCTTATATGATAGACATGGAAGAGATGGAGTTTCAGAGAAGTTACCAGCTTGTATACTTAGTTAGCTCTTAAGTGATCAAGTTGAAATATAACCCGATCGCCTCCACTGACCCTGCTCTCCCATCTGTGATATGCCTCCTCTGTAGTTTGCTGTCTAGAACTGCACGAACATTGTCATTGAGCCTAAAGGGTGCCTGTGCCCAAGAATCCATGGCTTCCAAGCTGATGGGCCATTTTGCTTTGTACAAGAGAGTGACTGAGGAGAGAGAGGAGCATGGGTGCTGGATGGAGAATTGAGACCCAGAATGCTTTTAAGCACACTTTCATTTTTTCCCCTCCCTCTCTTCCCAATATAGGGTGAAGGTTGCCGAACTGTCCCCCTGGCTGGACATGTAGGGTTTGACAGCTTGCCTGACCAGCTGGTGAATAAGTCAGTGAGCCAGGGCTTCTGCTTCAACATCCTGTGTGTGGGTGAGTATTTCCATAGCAGGAAATTCTATTACAGAATATGGATCCTTGATGGCTGGATGTAGCTTTGCAGGTAATTAGGTTAATTGGTGTGTTGTTCTGATCAAACTGCAAGAATCCCCCCCCTCCATTTTTCAGTACACTGGGAACTGAACCCAGGACCTTCACACTGAGCTGCACCCTAGTCACTTTTTTATTTTTATTTTGAGACAGGATCTCCCTAAAGATGTAAGTTGCCCAGGTTGGGCTTGAGCCTGTGATCCTTCTGCCCCAGCCCCCCAGAATGCTGAGATTATAGCATGTGTCACTATGTCTAGCTCTCCTTCCCCTTCCTTTTTCTTCTATCCCTCACTGTATATTTTGAAAGCAGCCAGTTGTGATTACTTTTTTCCTTGGTCAGACCAGCCAGACTCTAGGGCCATATGCTGGGGGAAATGGAGCTGTGTGAGACCCTATGGAAATCTTGGGGGCAGATTGGCTGGCTTAACTGCAGCTGTCAGGTTCATTTTGATTGCAAAAGACAGGAGCCAGGACACAAAAGGGAGACAGGTGATAGGTGAAGAAAGGAAGATGCCTGTGCGCCAGGGACAGGGATTGGTCTGTTGGTTCCCTCTGCAGCTTCACTGCATTTTGCTACCATTTGAGCTCCAGTTTGGGGATCACACAGCTGTGTGCAAAGGTTTTTTGTTTCCCTTTACCTGCATCTCTGCCTAGACCTTTAATCTCCACTGTGGGAACCACATCTTTGTACCTCTATTTGCTCATAATGGCACAAAAACAATTGGAAAATGTTAATGAAATGAAATAAAATGAAATGACTGAGTTAATCACCCAGGAGCCACTCATTCTAGTTTTCCAACTGTTTCTTACATAAGCCTTTTTGGTCCTTATTTTGCAAAGTGATCTCAGTGAGTAGTATCTCTGTCCTCACAGAACACATGGTGACACAGAAGCTTAGGGAGGATGAGGGATTTACCTGAAGCAGCCCAGGAAAAGTAGCAGAGCCATAAAGGGGGCCCTGCCTCTTTGACTCCTTGTCCCTCCCACTGCTCCTGTAACTGCTGGCAGCAGCACCTCTTGAGAACAGGAAAGCTTTTGGAAGCTGTTAAACACTCTCCCAACATGCAGGACAGTGGCTCTTTAAGGGTTTCACCTTAGCCCTTAAAAATCCAATTTACAAACACAATCATAGCGTATAATTTTCACCCTACCATGTAGGAAAGCATACCTTCGTATTTTCAGCGACCTCCTTCTGAACGTTAATGCTTATATAAGTGCCATAATAAAACCAGCTTTCACACTGGCTAGAGCACTCAAACACTTACGCTAATTGCCTTTTCTTATTTTTGTATAGCGTGGCGGGGGGACTCACACCACTTGCAGGTCTGAACCAACACTGAACTGGATATTGTACCCTTCAATACGTTCAAAAGTTCTGTTGTCTCACAAAGGTCATTTTCTCGAGTTCCTTGTTTTTTCTTCTGTATTCCTAGTCGTTTTTTTCTGGGTCATTTTCTATAAGAGAATCACTGCACACTAAGGACAAATGAAAAACAACAAAGCCACTTCTAAATATGGATGCCAGACACTAAGCTAGGCTCACTCACTAGGTGAATGACTCATTCCAATGTATCAGTTTTGGAATTTACAAGATAAAAATATGTGCTTCACAGTATTACACATCAGGGGCTTTAGAGTCTAGATTGAGACACTTAACTCTTTAAATGCTGAAAGTCTAAATCATGGTTATGTTTAGGTGCTATTAGGAGAGGGATATGAAATACATAGACGTTGGAGTGCTCAACATCAAGAACAAATGCTATCACATATAATTTTAGTACTGCTGAATCTCTATTTTAACTAACATGATCTCTAATTTTTGGCTGATAGCCAACTTATTTCACATAATACTTGATAACCAAAATATTTCAGCACAAATATCTCAGATTCCCGTGGTGTCCCTCCTAGAGTTCCATGTGACCTGTGCTGAAATGAAGGAGACAAGAGGTCAAATGGCAGACCAGACTACACCACCTGTCAGCCAATTGGGCAGACTAGTAAAGTTTTGCGTAGGGGGAGGCCCTGTGAGTCACGATGGTTTTCTGAGGGCGGAAGTGTGAGGAAATTTGACATGTGGATCACAGGCTTCCCTAGGGCCCAGAAGAAGAAGCTGCCAAGCTCAAGGCAGTGAGTGAGAGAAAATGTAAACTCTTGCCCTCTACTTCCCACCCTGACATTGTACAGCTGCAGTATACACCTGCCGCTGGGATAGGATTGCTCAAGAGCCTGGCACAGTCTCTCCAAGAGGGGAAGGATAGGAAGGAGACCCTCCCACCCCCAAGGAGCCACATTTGGCCACCCTGAGGGCTTGCCTCTTAGATTGCTGGTGTAGCCACTGGATATATCAGCTGGCACTGGGTTCATTTCATTCTCTATCCCCAATCCAAAAAAATCTACAACTCATGCCTCTTGCTGTGCTTGTAACCCTGTCATTGCTCAGAGAACCTATAATTTGGACCAAGGTCATGAGCAGCTGAGGCTTGCTCTGAGGCCGCAGTCTAAGTTTGGCTATGGTGCCAGATCCTATACTGACTGGCGAAGAATCTCTAGCTTGACTGCCGAAGGTTATCTTTTTCTCTTGCAAGACTTTCAGGGACTGTGTTTTCATGCCTATTGCCTGGGTATGATTGTCAAGTTTACTTTATTAATGGCTGTTTAAAATGATTCTGTTTGCTCATGGAATATGTTCCCACCAAATATTTTTTTCTTTTCTGATAGGCATTTTCAGTGTACAACGATAGTAGTGCTAGCTTCAATTATTAACTGAAACATAGGATATTTTTTTCACCTTATTGTTTATCTTGCTGCTTGGCTACTGATTATAGGCCCATGCCCATCAGAGTTAAGTATCCTACATACATGTGTGCATATGTGTGTGTATGTTGGGATTGAGAAAGAAGAGATAATTTTATAAATCTAGATTCTAATTTGTATATAAAGGTCCCAGTGAATGGGACCTTTTAGGTAGGCACATAGACATCAGCATATTAAGATTCCTCTCCAAGAGATTCCTTCCATTTTCCTTAATCAGAAATAATACTCTAGTCCCTTTGCTTTGGAGATTCTGAGGATCCAGTGATTATGGATAAAGTGTAGGAGGCCTCAGAGGGGCCACCCAGATCAGCAGTACAAATATTCTGGGGCCTGTTGCTTTGCATTTTTGGATGAGAGCCCCCAAAAGATGTATCCATCCAAATGTGCCAGCAACACTAACGGCTGGGAGGAGCACAAAGGATCATAATGATAATATTTATTTTGAAGCTGCTCTGAATTCCAGGCTCAACTGGGTTCTGTTGAACTTGGACAAAGACACACACAAGCATGATTGAGGCTTACTGCAGGAGGAAAAAGGGCAGCTAGCATTCTGTCAAGGTCAGGGCCCAATCGTTTCACCCCTCTGTCTCTGGGAAGTGCAGCTAGCTGCTCACTTATCTAAGGCAGGTTGCCAGCAGTGGTCAAAGTCTAATAAACCTTAATAGGAGGAAACTTCCCATGGTTTGTAGCAGCCACTGATTTTTGTGGTGTCATTACCCCCACCATAGCTGATTTTAAGCAAGCAACATGACATCATTGCACACAGGTTTGGGAAGAAATACAGGAAACTGTATGAGCTGGCTGCTGTACACCAAAGTCTGCCAGGCTTTTGCAAGATCAGGAAGGAGAAAGGGCAAGGTCACACAGCCAGGCAGGACCTTGTGCCTGTCCCTAGGTTCCCTTGGCCAACTGGAGTTCCTGGAGCATTTCCTTTTCGACACCTCCCTATTAAATTCAAAAACATTTCTCTTGGTTTATTCCAGTATTTAGAGCTGGAAGAGTCTTTAGGTCCATGAGAACAAGGATTGTGGCTATCTTGTTCATTGCCTTACCCGCAGCTGTTGGAACTGCCTGGCTCCTGTTGGAAATTTCATAAATACTTGTAGGATGACTAAATAAGCAAGCATGTCATATGTATGGCGCTTGCTATTGCATATTGGTTAAAAACATGGACATGATAGTGCATACGTTTAATCCCGGTACTTTGGAGGCAGAGGCAGGAGGATCACTTGAGTTTGAGGCCAGCTTGGGTTACATAAGTAAGTGCAAAGTCAGCCTAACTAAATGATAGAGATACTTTCTCATAACAAAACAAAACAAAAGCAATTTGGGCTCCAAAATGGTATGGTGATCACACCTATTATCTCAGCTATTTGGAAAGCTAAATTTAAAGCAGGGGGATCAGAAGTTTGAGGCCAACCTAGACAGTTTAGCAAGACCCTGTTCCAAATCAATAAATGGACAAAACATAAAGGATTAGGGTGCAGATCAGTGGCAGAGTGCCCCTGAGTTCCATCCCCAGTAATACACACACACATACCATGAGTTCCAAGTGTCAACATGCCTAGATGTAAATGCTGGATCTGCAACTTACTAGTTTTTGACTTTGGACTGTTACTTCCTCCATGTTGTATAGATGAGGAAAATAAGGTGCAAAGAGGAAGAGAAATTGTAAATTCACACAACTAGTATGTGGCTTCGGACTCAACTATAATTCATGGACAGATTGTAGTATATATGGGCCAGGAGTGTAGTTCAGTGGTAGAGCACTTGCTTAGCATATGTGAAACTCTGGGTTCCATCTCTTGTGCTGCCAAAAAAGTGGGATCTACCATTGGCTTGTCGTGAGAAATAAATAAGAAAATATATGGGGGCAGTGTTGCAGTGCTATTTTAGAGTTCTTGCCTTGTATATGTGAGGTTTTGGGTTCTATCTCCAGCATCATGAAAAGAAAATATATATTTTTGCTTACAGTAATGCCTATTGTAAACTCACCATAAACCAAAGTTATTGTTTTTACTCCCTCCTTCTCCTTTTATAGGAAAATAAACTGAGACCCAGAGAGGGGAAAGTCTCAGCTTTGGTCACACAATAATTTAGTGGTAACCTGGCTTGGAGTCTTCATTTCATAACTTGCAAGGATTCAACTGCATGGGATGCTAGAGGATGTGGGTATTAACTGTAAATAAGGAAAAGTGCTAAATTTTGCTTTGGCTCAGTGGTTTTTAAGCCTGGGTTAGGAGGTCAATATTAGACTGTTCCAGTGAATATAGTTTGAAATGGTACATTTTAAAAAACTGGTTTTTCTAAGATACTAGCTACATAAAACAAGGTGAGATGAAATACTCTTGGATGGTTGCAGTATGATTAAAAAGAGGCAAGAAGCTAGGTGTACTGGCCCCATGCCTGTAATCCAGCACTCAGGAGGTAGAGGCAGAAGGATTGTGAGTTTGAGGCCAGCATAGTAAGATCATGTCTCAAAACAAAACAAAAGTTTATAAAGGACTAAGAAAGCCTACGGCCCACTGAGATGCTCTGGAAGGGTTGGGCAGGAGAAGAGGGAAATAGACCCCTGGGAATCTCTTAGGTTTCCTGCTGGAACCTAATTGCCAAGACCCCACCTCCTGCAGGGGCGTGGGATGTGTTGATCTATCCCATTAGGCCATGTGTGCTTGGCCCAGGGTAGCCATGGGAGGGGACAGCATCCTAGGCCTAGGCTTGCTTTTGAGAGAGAGCCTCCCCTGTCACCAGGCTCCATACAGATGGTAACCTGGGGTGGGAACACTCCATAACTATAGAAAACTGGCTTGGTTTTCTGCTCTCTTCCAGTCTGCATGTATTATAATTCCCTGGACAGCCGCAAGTTCTTTTCTTCCAGACCTTCAGTATTTGCCTCATAATTGCCACAGTCCTTCTGTGCTGACAAGCATCTGGGTGGTCATTTTCCCAGCTGGCCTGCCCTGCTGCCTGCCCTGCCCTGCCCAGTCCAGTCCCCATTTCTCCAGCTGTGCAAACAGGGTGGGGCCCTCCCTCTGCAGTGTGCTCCTGAGGCCTTCTGTGTAAAGTGGGTGCTGGGCACTTTGGAGTACAGGGCGATTCTCAGGGAATTCTTAGGACAGGGAGCCAGCCAAGCTGCCCCTCTCCCAGAGCCACAGGAAATTGAGCAAAGATCTTCGGGAAAAGAGAGGTGGGTATGTGGACTTTGGAAAATCCATTGAGCATATACAAAGGAGTTTAAACCTCAGTACGTCTTGTGTTTGCAACTTCAGAGATGCTGACCCCATTTGTAATTGAGACATACCCTTGGGTGGAGTGGGGTGGGGATATCTTCCGCTGCTTGCCCCAGTCTGTCACCTCCTGTTGGAAAGACCCAGGAGCCTTTTTCTGCAGTCTTGCTGCTAATAGTTATAGCAGACCCTGCCTGGAAATATGATCTGTCTGAGGAACCATGTCTGCATACCCTGCCAATCCACTGTGTTACAGCTGGCTATGAAATAGGGCCAGGAGATCCAGTAGCCAGGTAGAATTGAATGTTTTCGTCAATATCTCTGGGCGTCTCTGTCTCTACTCCACACATAGAAAGATCTCATCATAGTTTTAAAAGCATCTCTTGCATTCATAGCTCATTATTCAGGATAAAAGAGGCCCCAAAGATGTACAGCTAGATACGCCCAGTGGGTGAAGGGGAGATAGAACAATTTTGGTTTCCAGTCATGCAGCTCTAACCCAAGCTCTGGAATGCCTTGCAAGTAAGTACTGAGTCCCAAGGGGAGATTTACCAGACAGAATTTGTCCAGTGTAAACCTACTCCAACTGGGAGAAGTCAAAGCTCACTTCCTGGGGATTGGACCATTGGGTGGGTAAGAGAGGGATAATACTAGCAAAATAATAGTCTTAGGCATTCAAAAGGCAGCCCAGGATCTTTAACTACTGACTTTTATTCCTGGCATTCCTGAATCACTCAGGGTATAATGTGTGTGTGTGTGTGTGTGTGTGTGTTTACACGTGTGCAGATACAGTCTATTCATGGAGATTGTAAATGGTTTTAGTGCCTAGCCCAGCTTGTAGCTTCATATCAGATTTCTGCCTAGCTACCATGTCGCCAACTTTGCTCTAATTCATGAATTCTTGTGCTGTTTCATTCCCTAAAGACTCCTTAGCTCCAGACAGCGGCTTACTATTTCCTGGTCTCCCAGGAACAACTTCCCTAAACCTTTAGGAGTCCTCCACCACCCTCCCCTATCCACCTCTAGCGTGAAATTCAAGACTTTTGAAATTCCAAGTTTAATTTATTAGTATCCTGCAGCCAATGAGTTAAACAAACAAATGGCTAGTTTGTTTAAAATTTAAGGAGAATAGTAATTTGTGGCTTGTTAATTTGCTTCCCCATTACTAAAAAATGGTCTCACTGAAAGTTCAGTTAGGCTGAGAGAAGCCTAAGGCCTACCTAGTCTTCCTTCTAGTATACAAATCCGGGACACATAGGGTCCACACAGTCTCCCCACTGGGAGACACATCTAGGATAGCTATTGAGTGCTGTTTGGGCCTGGCCGGGAGTGGGGTTGGGGTGGGAAATGGGACGACTGGGATGGGAGGTTATTTGTTTGACAAGCCATTAGTGTTTCTAAAATTTTAAAGCAGCCTTTTAAATGTTATTACAAAAGTTGTATATCTTTTTTAAAGCTATATTACGTTGTACATACTTAAAAAAATTTGGAAAACACAAAAAAGAATTGAAAACCATATATAGTCCCACCACTCGGTGATGACCATTGTTAAGAGTGTTTTATTTCCTTCTAGTTTTTTATAGGAATAATTATATCTCTCCATCACTGCCTGTAAAATAATTTCTTTTTTTTGATTATAAAAGCAATGCATACTCAAGGTGAAACTGTCAAATAACAGGAAAAATTCAAAGAGTAAAATGAAAATTATTCCAATTCCACTATTGTGAGATGACTATACTTATGTTATTGTGTTCCCTTTTGATAGTTTTCATTTAAACAAGATTACATCATGTGTGCTGCGCTTTTCACTTTTCTTTTTTTTTTTTTTTTTTTTTTTGTCTTTTTCCTTTTTATCGGTACCGGGGATCGAACTCACGACTGCCTGCTTGCAAGGCAGGCGCTTATGCCGCTGAGCTAAATCCCCAGCCTCAGTATTTTCTTTTTTTAAAATTTTATTTAAAGAGAAAAAGAAAAAAAAACAGAAAAAGAGTACAAGTTATACAGAATTTCAAAAAAATAAACAGTAAGAAATCACTAGTTAATAGATTACGTATTGTCATCTTAGAAATAGTTGTTCAAGTTACAAAATTAAAGCACATAGAGTGGACCTTCAGTGAGACTACAAACAGTTCTGTTCAATGATCCAACAAAAACTCAGTAATTTGGTTGTCTATCTTATACACTTCAATATACATGCAGTTATATCCGTTAGAGCACTTTCTTTTCCTTTTTTACAATAACAATTACACATTTTGGGTTTTATTACTCCCACAGTTCTTATTACTTTTTTTAAAGAGAATAAAACCAAATGTGACAAAACAAAACAGAATCAGTCAAATCAAAAGGATGGACATAGCACATATTGTAAAAACAGAATACAAGGTGACCGACAATGGTTACCATAATGCCTCTTGCTATCTTTTGTTTTGTTTTGTTTTTTGCCTTTTTCCTTTTTATCAGTACCAGGGATTGAACTCATGACTGCCTGCTTGCAAGGCAGGCGCTTATGCCGCTGAGCTAAATCCTCAGCCCCAGCCTCTTGCTATCTTAAAAAGAATTGCCTATATGATCATTTATAATAAAATTGAACAAAACAGTACAGAACAAAACCAATAAAACCAAAACATTGGAGACATTACAAGACTTCAAAAGAAGATAATAGTTAAACTAGAATGGGCATCATTCTGAATCTTATTGTCTTCAAAGTAGTTGCCTATACCCTCAGGCTTGATACTATCAAGCAAAACAGAGTAAAATCAGTCAAAACAAGATAGTGAGAGCAATACAGGGCTTCAAATCAAGTTAATAGGAAACCAAAATGGTTACTATAATATATCCTGCTATTTTTAAATTTATTTTCCCTTAATTAAAAAATAAATCAATAAATAAAGGAGATTGAGATAAAAAAGGACATAACAACAGAACAGCACATGTCAGAACAGAACAATTTAAGCAACATAGTGTTTCATCACAAGACAACCCGACATAACAGTAGTTACCATAATGTCTCTTACCTTGAAATATTTGAGTATAACTTTGTATACTATAGCATCAAACATATCAAGACAATGTAAAACCATTCAGGAGAATGAAAGTATTACAGGGTATTTAGAACCAACTAACAGAAAATGAACAATGGTTTCTATATTATCTCCTTGTCTATAAAAGTTTTTGTTTATACTATCACATATAATAAAATCCAGTAAGATACAACATGTTAAGACCGATGGAGACAGAAGAACAACAGTTTGATGGGACTTCAAAACAAGATGATATTAAATCAGCACTAGCTATTATGATGTCTTTCTTTCTTCAAAGTAGCTGTTCAGGGCTGGGGATTTAGTTCAGTGGCATAAGCGCCTGCCTTGCAAGCGCATGGTCATGAGTTCGATCCCTGGTACTGATATTTTAAAAAAATAGCTGTTCATGACATCACAGACAATAAAATCAAACAACCCAGAATAAAACCATTCCAATTAATGAATGAAAACATTGTAAGGTTTCAAAGCACATTTCTTCTGTTGGTAGGTACACATCTGAATCATGACGTGTGATAGCTGCACGGTCAAAGTATACCTGGACCCTAATTTATCCTTTTGTTTTTCAGGAGAGACAGGTTTGGGCAAGTCCACCCTCATGGATACCCTGTTCAACACCAAGTTTGAGGGGGAGCCAGCCACCCACACACAGCCAGGTGTCCAGCTCCGGTCCAATACCTATGACCTCCAAGAGAGCAACGTGGGGCTGAAGCTCACAATTGTTAGCACGGTGGGCTTTGGGGACCAGATCAACAAGGAGGACAGGTAAAGAAGGCAGTGGGGTGGGACGGGTGGAGGGTCACAGGGAGGAGTTTTCTGTGAGGTGTCAGAGGAAGCACTGATGCTGAGGCCCGGGGTGTCCCCCCAGAATGGTATGGGCAGGCACCAGGTCCCTCACAGGCGCCTGCCCAGAGTCCCTGTTTATAGCAACTATTTTATTTCATCCACTTTTCCAAAAGAGACTTGTTTTTCAGTACACCTGGGTGGGGTCTCAGTTCCATTCAGCAAACACTTCTGGAGCCTCTGTCTTGTGCCAGGAGCTGCCAGGCTCTGACATTCTAGTCTCTGCCCTTGAGGCACTCATGTGTAAGACTGGTTTTAAGCAAATAATTTCCATAGTGGTATGTTCTGTGAAGGACAAAGTGTAAGGAGTTAAAGGACAGTTACAATTAGAACACAAAAATGAAAACAGTTCCCTGTGGGAAGGTCAGGGAAGCTGTGATGGAGCATGTGCCCCCTGAGCTGAATCCTAAAGGACAACTACTTTGCCAACAGATGGGGGACAGGAGGTGACTGCTTATTATAGGGCATAGTAGCATGGTGGAATCTGGCCTGTTCTAAGGAGCTGCAGGTTGCTCCTTTTTTTGCTATTCAGAGGTAGGGTTACTGAGAAGCTGATGAAACTTAAGGCTATCATGGGCATAGGTACCTTCCAAGATCCTGTAACTGATTTTTATTCATAAGTTTGTATTATTTTTTTTGGAAGACCCTGTGGACTCTCCCAGATTCCATAAAACCTGGATCTGTCTCTGGACCAGTGACTAGAATGAGCTAAGGGAAAAGTCAGGGGGCGTAAGCCTGGAGTGGGAGCCAGATCTTGGAGTGATTTATAAAGTATGCAGATATGAAGCCACTGAATGATTTTAAGAAAGACAGTGGTGTGGTCTGACTGTCCTTTGAATAATGTCCTGTGGTATGGCATTAAAATACACTAGAAAAGCAAGAAGTCCAATGAAGAGACTATTGGACCCATTAGATTGAGGCAAGAGATAAAGTAGCTGCTGGTATAGAAGACAGAGATTTGATAACTATCGAGTAGGTAAAACCAATAGGTCTTATTAGATAGTGGATATGTAATTGTAAAGGCAAAAAAGTAATCTAGAATGAGGCCTGAATTTCTGACTTTGGAGAGTGGACAAAGAGTAGTGGCCTCCCATAGTTAAGAACCACATTTTAAGATGATAACCTCTGGGGCTAGGGATTTAGCTCAGCGGCATAAGCGCCTGCCTTGCAAGTGTGTGGCCGTGAGTTCAATCCTCGGTACTGATTTAAAAAAAAAAGACAAAAACAAAAAACAAAAAAGATGATAACCTCTGTTTTGGACATGTTGTGGTCCAGCTGTCTCTAGAATATCAGGAGCAAAGATGGCTTTCAGTGGTAGGCAGCTAAGTAGACAGATTGGAGGCCTGAAGAGGGTCTAAATGAGAAATACAGCTTTGGGTTATGAGATAGAGATATGTTCCGATACTGGACACAGGTAAGATTGTCTAGGAATCGCAGAGAGTGGACTGAAGACAAAAACTTCAGTATGTGAAATCGGCAAATTGAGGCTGGTATCCGGAAAGGGACTGAGTGGGAGACACAGGCGGTTTGAAAAATGCATGAGTGAGGGGTGGAGTGAAGCTGAGCGATGAGGCTGTGGTGAGGGCTGGGGTGTGGGAAGGAGTGCAGGTCTGGCACTCTCTGCATATAACTCGAAGTTACGTGGGTGTCACACACGCCCATCTCAGAAAGGACCATGCATCATTTTGTCTGCTTATCCCTTAAGATGTCTCTTGCTTCTCAGATGGACTGAATCTCCAGTTCTGCTATTTCTCCCTTAAAGCCACAGCAGTAGTACGCCCGTCTTAACAACGACTAAATAGATGTAGCTTCTTAATAATGAATTGAATTGTTCTCCATGTGAAATTCTAGAAGAAAGACACTTCTGTTTTTATATAGGCTTGTTTATTGTGCTAATCTTATTTGGTGGAGAATGAATTAGGGTCTGGGGAAAGGGCTAGTTTGGTCACAGTCTGAATGCTTAATCTCAGCTACAGCTTTTTCAGGAACTCCTCAATTAAATTTTGCACAGTTCTTTCAGTCACATACATTAAACATAACTAACAATGGGCAACACCTTAATAATTATGATTTAGAAGGACTGAATAGATACTGCCCCTAGAGGCTAATCTATTCCTATTATATTTTTAAAACGTTCTTATTTTTTCCTGATTACAAACATGATACTTATTCATAAAGTATAAAATAATAACAAACTGTAGTAAGTGGGAATGAGAAGCTTCCTGGAAACTAGGCTGGGCTGCAGGGAACTGTAATGGAAAACAGTGGTCTCTACATGCTACCAGGGCTACTTAAGCACACACAGAGCAGCGCAGCTGCCTTGAGTGAGGGCATCAGAATGCCCTGCTTTATCCAGGGCACGTGCTTCAACCGGGAAGAACAGCAACTCAGACTGGGCCTTGTGGAAAGCTCCCTTCAAGAATTCTGGGAGAAATGGACCCTAAGGGGGAGACTGTGAAAAAACAGTCTGAAGAGGGAAGTGCCTGGGGACTTAGGCTTTGGTTTCAGACAGACTTGGATTCAAATGTCACCTTGCCATTTAGTAGACCAGGAACCATAAGGGAGATACTTAACTACTCTGTGGCTCAGTTTTCAAATTACCTGGAAAATGAGGATAATGATTGCAATAATCTTTACTGTAGAGGGCTGTGATAAAGCACACTTGATACATATGGCATATGAAATACGTAAACAATGCCTCACACAGAGTAAGTACCCAATAAATAGAAGGTATTATTATAGCCATAGTTTTTATTGATACAAGAATGAAGACAGAGTTGTATCATCTAGTATATGAGAAGAAATGATAAATAGCATCCAGGAAAATGAGAACTCAAGAACAGCCTTTGAGTTTGGTAACATGAAAGTCATTAATAGATTTAGGAATAATTCCAGGGGAATTGTGAGTAGAGCCTAGATTGCCATAATTGCTCTGTGAATGAAAGCCAAGGATGTAAAAGCACCAGAACCTCAGAAAGAGCACTAGAACAAAAAAGTGAGTCTATCAGATTCATGTTTACATGGAAATTTAGTATATGTAATTCAGCAGGGAAAGAATGAACTATTTAGGAAATGATGCTGGGAAAATAGGCCATCCATTTAGGAAAAAAGTAAAATGAGACCCTCTCACACAAATACCACTCCCCAAAATAGATTCCTGTTGGACTAAAAACAAATTCTAAAAATATAAGGAGGAAATGTTGGAGAGTATTTTTATAACTTTAGGGGCAGGGGAAGGCTTTTCTACTCATGAATCAAAATCCAAGTTATAAAAGAAAAGAGTAACATTTAAATTCATCAAAATAAAAATACTTATATATTGAAAGATGTCGTAAACAAACATAAGCTATAGATGGAGCAAAAATATTTGCAACCTATGTAACAGACAAAGGATTTTTCTAAAATGTATAAAAAGCCTCTGTAATGCATTGAGAAATAAACATAATGGACAAAAGGGAGATACAAATGACCAATCAACATATGAAACGATGCTCAATTTCCTCGATGATTAAGGGAAATGCAAAATGAAACAGTGAAATATTTTCTGTCCATCATATTTGCAAAAATAAAAGATGGCATAATATCCACTAACACAGGGTAATTTCATTCATGTTGGTGGGAGTGTAAATTGATACAGAGTGTTTCAGGAGGACAAATTTGGCAGCATCTCTTATAATTTTAAATGCGAATGATTCATGACCCAGCAGTTTCATTTTAAAATATACAGCCTAGAGAAACAATTGCACATGTTTGTGAGAAGCATACAGAAAGGATGTTTATTGCACCATTGGCTATTGAATAAAAAAGTAATGAGAATTTCCATCAATTAACAGTGAAATGAACTGTGATACAAGCATACTATGGAATTATATTTGGCAGATTAAAAGAATGAGGTAGATTGATATGGGCTCATCTGGATAGAGCACCAAGTTGTTTTGTTATGTGAAAAAAAGAAGTTGCAGAATGACATACAGACCACAGTGCCATTTGTGTAAATCTGCCCCCTTTGCCCAGTGAAGCAACAAACACTTCTCTCTATTTCTATATGTAAATACGTAGAAAAGATGGGGAATGATAATCAGCAGACTGAAAACAGATCACCTCTGAGACATGGAGAATATATACGTGTGTTGGTTGTATAATTAAATATACATGTAAAAGAGTGAAGTTTTAGAAAAAGAAGCTGATAAAGTAGGCATTAGACCACTGGCTTAGAAAGCTTGTCTGAACTGGGAAAGAGAGATTAGGTAAGGCAGAGGTGACAAGGAGATCGAGGCAATTCTTAAGAATAAGGAGAAGTGATGAGGGTTTAAACAGAAGCAGACGTTTCCAGAAGAGACAGGAGGGGACACATTTGAAAAGAAAATCAGTAAGACTTAGTAACTAAGTTGGTGTGGGACCTGGTTCAGTTTATCAACTGCTAAATGTCTACTTTGTGCTAAGTACAGTGTGAGGTACCAGAGACATTAGTAAATAAGGCACAGTCTTTAATTAAGGAGCTTATGGCTTAGTGAAAGGGACCAATATGTATACAGTTTCTTCATAACATGGTAAGTTCAGTGACAGAGTTCTGTGGAGAGGAATTGTGGGAATAGGAAGGGCAGCAATTGGCCAAGCTTGGTGGTAATGGAATAGGGCAGAGGTGGCTGAAAGCAGATGGTTAGGAACAGCTGTGCTAGGTCTTGAAGTCTTGCAGGATAATACGAGTTAGCTGAATGACATACTGTAGAACGTCAGTACATATTTGTTGAAAATAAGTAAACATTGGTGGAAAAATAAAGATAATACCTGTAAGTTTTTATCATTTAATACCAAAAATATTTATCTGATATGTTAGTATGCTGTTGTGGACAGAAAACAGTCTGTAATTTGTTGGAGAGAATGAAAACATTTTGAAAAATCCAGTAGATTATTCCTTCAAA